GTGATTGGTTTTCTGAAAAAAAAAATGATTATTTTTTATAATTCGTTCCTTAGAAATATAATTTCTATAGTTTATTGTCTTTTATTATCAACCAATCACACAGCATGTCCATATCAATGATCTTAAAGCAATCCCATCTGGTCCACTCAACCGGATCACTAGCGGTTTTCACACCAAAACATGAGAGTGAACACAATTTTTAATCGAGAAAACTACCCCAAAGGTTAAGAATCGTCTCCTTAACGAACTAACTTCTGTGTATTAAGTGCGATGAACACTGGAATCACTGCATGCTTAAAAAGTCGAAAACACTGCGTTTTGAAAAAAAGTATTGGATGATATATAGGTTTTCCTCAAAAGTAGCGTTTTAAGAGTCCGTTTAACTCCTGTGTAAACATAATTTTCGACTGATTGTGTCAAATATTTGTCATGATATTGCTTGATTGAGCTTGCATAATTAGAACTCCAAAGCAACATTTAGCTATATAAATGTCTATATTGAGATCGTATATTTCAGATTCGTAGTATACCATAAGGCACATTTCATGACTCAAAAGGGGCACGTTCGCTTGAGGAAAAGGGCACATTTTGGTGTTTTCAAAAAAGAGGAGGGGGCACAGTACCCCAGTGCCCCCCGGTTCCGCGGCCTTTGCTTAACTGCGTTTATCCCAACCCACCCTGTCAACTTTCCCCGTGGGAGGAAACCGGAGCAGCCGGAGAAAACCCACGACTTTCGTCAGAGCGTTGACTGACTCCTTTCACATGAGTCCGTAGCGAGAATCAAACCCACGACTTTCGGCAGAGCGTTGACTGACTCTTTTCACATAAGTGTCATGTATGAGTCCGTAGCGAGAATCAAACCCACGACTTTCGGCAGAGTGTTGACTGACTCCTTTCACATGAGTCCGTAGCGAGAATCAAACCCACGACTTTCGGCAGAGCGTTGACTGACTCCTTTCACATGAGTCCGTAGCGAGAATCAAACCCACGACTTTCGGCAGAGTGTTGACTGACTCCTTTCACATGAGTCCGTAGCGAGAATCAAACCCACGACTTTCGGCAGAGTGTTGACTGACTCCTTTCACATGAGTCCGTAGCGAGAATCCAACCCACGACTTTCGGCAGAGTGTTGACTGACTCCTTTCACATGAGTCCATAGCGAGAATCCAACCCACGACTTTCAGCAGAGCGTTGACTGACTCCTTTCACATGAGTCCGTAGCGAGAATCAAACCCACGACGGCAGAGCGTTGACTGACTCCTTTCACATGAGTCCGTAGCGAGAATCCAACCCACGAATTCAGAGGTGAAAGACGCTGGCTCTGACGACTGCAATGACGTTTTTTTTCTAAAATTAAACCGTTTAATATCCTCAATTACACGCTTGGTTGCATCACCTGCAGATTACGCAGTTTGTGTACGGACACTGTTTGTCGAATATTTGCCCTTGGTATGGTAGAATAAATATGCTCTACTGTTTTAAATGATCACTTGTGATGGTCACTCTTGTATGCAAAATGTTTGCCTGGGAAGAAGTATATGTTCGCACTCAAAATAAACTCCGATACGTGATGAATGTATAATATTCTACAGATCTCTATAGCCTTTGTATCAACTTCATTCAACCATAAGCTCACACCCTCACGTACGTAACGAGACTAGGCCACAGACATCCTTCAAATCATCAAGTTTCTAAGATCATCCAGAAAGCGCAGTTCGTACCAATCCTTGAAAAGAAATTCCAATTCGTTAAAATCCATTTAAAATATGAAAAAAATTCTGAAAATGTCTTGCCTTTTTAGTGCGAAGTTTCCATGGGAACTTGGCAGTATAGTTGTTCAGCCATGTACATTCACATATACAGGCAGAGAATAAACTTCTGAGGTGCTCGCGATTTACGTGCAAAGCCTGGTTTATTCAATTTCTTGGATTTACGTATATTATGTACTTCTATTTGAGACGATGATAGCATCGGGTATCAACTCAACTGATACTGACCTTACAGGGTGTCTAAAAAAAACGCTATGGAAATTCAACAGGCTGTCGTGCATCATAAACTTGGCTAAACAATTCAATTTTTTACATAGGATGAAAGAGCTGTTATTTAGCTTTACTATGATACCCTTTTTATATCGTAACGATGAGAAATGGCCACATACTCGTCAAATAAAATTGCCGGTCGAAATCACAGTCTTCCACCGTTGGGAATTGAAAAAGAACATTAATTATGCAAAGTTAGTCAATCCAAAAGCAACGCGAGCCTGCTGCAAGCTAACTGTTTCGTAAAAGGTTTTGATTATGAATGTTCTCTGTTCAGGGGTTAATTGAACCATGGACGTTCTTATTGTCTCACTAAGACGAAGAATGACGAGTTGAGTTCATTTTAGATAATTTAACATTCAATTTCAATTCCCTCTTGGGAATTGTTTATGTTTCGTTTTCCATGCAATTCCCAACGGTGAAAGAATGTGATTTCGACCGGCAATTTTTATTTGACGAGTATGTGGCCATTTCTAATCGTTACGATTTAAAAATAGTATCATTGAAAAGCTAAATAACTGTTCTTTCTTTGAATTGTTTAGCCACGTTTATGATGCACGACAGCCTGTTGAATTTCCATAGCGTTTATTGAGACACCCTGTGAGTGTATTCTGCTAACATAAAAAAATGCGTTTAACCTTTATTGAGACACCTGGTATTCTGCTAACATAAAAAAATGCGTTTAACCGAACATATGTTAACGCACAAATACTCCATCATGTACTTATAGTCTTATACGCCTTGTAAATCTCGTATCCGTGGCCAATTGACAACGGGAATTTTGAAACGTCGCGATCACGAGTACGGAATGGCGCAAGAAGATGGCAAGCATGCATGGCCCGTGCAAACAACGAATTTGTCGTAGTTGTACTCGTAGTCGTAGTAAAATCTAAGGTCTGTTTCATACGCCGTACTTCACATGTACCTCTTCACCACTCCACTCGTTCCAGTTCTGGTGATTTTCGTCCAAACCTGTGCAAAACCTCCCTCTTCCGAAACTCATACTTTAACAGAATTGTATTTTTATGGAACAATTTAATACCGTCTGATATCAAATCATCTTCGTCAGTCGCCATACTTAAATCTAAACTATATATATATTACACTAGAAAGCTGAATAGTACTTTTGATGTAGACCGTCCTAGAACATGGAAAACTGTATGCAGTAAATGTCGTTCTTTACATACAATCTGTTGTTCATAGATGTAATTATAATTGTTGTATGTCCTAATGTTTATGTATATAAAACTATGATTCTTGTAATACCTATAAGTAATTATGTAATGTACGTTTTTGGTAGGACTTAATTAGGGACTCACGTCCTGTTGTCCTTACCTTCGGTCATTTGATTGTAAAGTTAATAAAAAAAAAAAGAAAAAAGAATACATTAAAGACAATAGATAATGAGCTGAAATGCCTCATTATCTATTGTTTTTAATGTATTCGGCACATGTGAAGTACGGCGTATGAAACGGGCCTAAAGCTCGGCTCTCTATTGCCGAACGTTCATATCATGTGTTAAGTGCGACTTATCGCACGCCGTGGAGACCACTTACTCTGACAAGGATGGGACATTTGTTAAAACTTTAAAGTGAATTTCACAGCTATACGTAGGGATGACTTCAAGATCTGCTAGAACAAAATATACGAAAGAACATATAATGGTTCAATTTAAATGTGCAGTTTTGGAGCAGTTTTGGCGCTGTTTTTAAATCAGCTATCATGTATTATTATTATTATTATTATTATTATTATTATTATTATTATTATTATTATAAATCTCTCCATCAGCTCTTTAGATATTTTTGCAGAAGAATGTTATACATTTTTAGACATGTTAGATAGTATTGGTCTTGACAAAAACCACCAAATGTACAGCGTTAGGAAAATGATGACTATTGCTATTAGAACTACATATTACATTTTTTG